TTTTTAGGGGAGAAACAGGTTTCAGAGAAGAAACATGTAGAGGGGCCCTGTGCAAAGATGGATCGTGTAAGGTAAATGTTCACAATGGAAAAGAAATGTGTTGGGTACAGTTGAAAGGGGTTAGACAGATCTAAGCTAAGAAATAAATTCTCCTAATGGGATAAGATCATTGGAGAAAAGTAATTATGGGAGCTTCCTGTTCTCTGGGTGATCAAGAATAAGGAATGTGGTTACCAGGGCCTGGTCTCAAGTATTTGGATGGTACATGCCCTTCTCTGGTCGGCATTGTTTCAGAGGTCTAGGCAGTGCCAGGCATGGTCTGAGAGGATAAGCCTGGTCTGGTTTTGTGTAGGAGTCATGTGACCCACTGCTATGAGTAGTGTCAGAATGCCACCAGGAGTTCCGGGCTCCATGGAAAGAGGTAGGCCCTTCCTGGCCCTGTGGTAGTTATTTAGATAGTGTAGTTGGGTGCCCATGACCCAGCACTCAGTGGGAAGGAGCCCAGAGGGTGCCACAGGATTTTTTGGTCATCTCCTTAAGGCCTGGAGGAGCAGCTTCCTTACTCAGCCTGTTGACATAATTGCCATCACATTAATGACTTATCGCATGCCACATCTTAATTTACAACTTCATAAATTACATGTAAGATATAAGAATCCTTCCCTGGCCAGTTTGGCTCAGTAGTTAGAGCGTCAGCCCATGGACCAAAAGGTCTAGGGTTCGATTCCAGGTCAAGGGCATGTACCTTGGTTTCAGGTTCGATCCCCAGCCCCATGTGGCAATTGCTGGAGGCAACCAATCAATGTGTGTCTCTCCTTCCTCTCTCCCTTCCACTCTGTCTGAAAATCAATGAAAAAAATATCCTCCGGTGAGTTTTAAAAAAAAACAACCCACAAAAAAGATATAAGAATCCTATCCTTAGTAAGCCTTAGGCACTTACCTTACTTCTTGATTATGACTTTAAAAAACTTATGTAGAAATGTATTAACACCAGTGAATATTGACAGTATATTTTGAGAAAAGCTCTTCTTTAGTGCTTAGACCCTTTAAAGGCCTGGTATGTATTCACAGGGCTCTCCATGAAGGGGTGCTGTGCGGCGGCCGGGGGTGGGGGGGAGGGTGGTGGTGAGGGGAGGATCATCTCTGCTCAGGTGATTTCTCCCATCACTCTCCCTTAATACAAACAATAGAAAGTGGAATGTGTTATCAAGCTTCAGAGGTATAGAAGGATAGTTCCGTGGTCGGCAAACTGTGGCTCGCAAGCCACATGTGGCTCTTTGGCCCCTTGAGTGTGGCTCTTCCTAAGCCTTAGAAGTACCCTAATTAAGTTAATAACAATGTACCTACCTATATAGTTTAAGTTTAAAAAATTTGGCTCTCAAAAGAAATTTCAATCGTTGTACTGTTGATATTTGGCTCTGTTGACTAATGAGTTTGCCAACCACTGGGATAGGTGATAGATACAGAGATAAACATAAACACAGGAAAAAAGAATGTGAGTGAGAGTGAGAGCACAAAATAAGGGGGGTCATGTAGTTGACAATCCAGTGGGGAGGAGAGATTAGAGAAAGAAAGCCATCAGTCACTGTGGCAAGCACTAGAAAAGAAACTGGTCCAGGGGCAGAGAAAAGACCACAGGGTATGGAGGGATTCACTTTATATGGGGAGTCAAACACTCGAGTTTCGTCTGGGGATGGGAGAAGAATATGCAGAAGGCCTGGGGTGAGACAGCTGGGTGGTTGGAGTTACTGAAAGCAGACTGTCATTTCAGCAGAGCAGCCAAAAGGGAAGGTGGTAAGAGAGAGCAGGGGAGATTCAACCACCCAAATAATTGCCTAAAGTCACCTCATAATTTCTCATCACTATCTCTACAAAATAAAATTGGTAAAATTAAATTGAAATTGCATAGATAGCTAACCTTTATATTTTTCTTTTATTGAAGTAATTTCATAATAGGTTTGTGATATACTTGGAAATCAGTTCTATGATGTCATTTCCTAAACAGTTTCCAAATGCCTTTATCATAAAGGGTTCACATTAAATAAAACACTTTCATCAATTCAAGGTCCAAATTATTTATCATGGCAAAACTCCAACTAATTGTGAGTCCAAGGGGAGATTGTTTTGCACACAGAATTAGAAATATTTATAGCATTAATAGTCACTTTTATGTACTTTTTATTTACAAAAGTATCCATCTCAAAGTCGCTTGAATTTTGGAAAGTTCTATGATCATTTCATGCACAGTAAAATTTGTGTACAGTACAAATTAAACACAGTTTTTTATTATCCCATTGTCAATTGATTTGATATGAGGTAACTGTTCTGGCTTAATTGCCTTACTCTGAAAAAGCCCTGAGGGGAAAGCAATCCTATATCTACTCAACACGAGAATAGAAATTTCAATTTGCCTTGAAATGTGATTAGTTGAGTCTCTCAGGCCTACCTCGTGTTTCTAAACTCTGCAAATACTAAGTGCAAAAACTTCACACAAAAATGTGAAGAAAGTTCTAAAGTTTGAGAATATGTTGACAAAACTTCCCTTAATAAATACCTTGTTTTCCCTGAGGGTTTTCAAGACCTCATAGGAAGTTTAATTCTGTAGGCCACTCTCTCAGAGAAGTGAGTTTTATATAACAATGCGCTTGGAAATTTTCTGCTAAAAGAATAACATGGAAGAAAGAATATGGGAAGGAGGAAGAATGTAAAGAGGACAGCTCAAAAGTTTTATTAGCAGGTTAAGTAATTTTGCTTGGTAGAACAGATTTGTTTCTTTTTTAAAATACATTTTTATTGATTTAGAGACAGAGGAAGGCAGAGGGAGAGAAACATTGATGTGGATGTGAGAGAGAAACATCAATCAGTTGCCTCCCATACACACCCCGATACGTGTGTTGGAACCCGTAACGTGGGTTTGTGGAATTGAACCTGACTGGGAATTGAACTGGCAGCCCTGTGGTGCATGGACAGTGCTCAGCCAACTGAGCTACACCAGCCAGGGTATTTTTGATCCTTAATTTCAACTTTCCATGGTTTTGTCCTTACTTAATTTTTTCCACTGCAAGGGAACATGGTTGATGGGTCCTAGGCCTGAAGCTTGTGAGTTAAGAACTGTTTAGTTCATCCATCGGTGTTCCCCAACAAGCACTGAGTGTATCTTCAGGGATACCTGAAGAGGCCCATCATTGTGACCCCACCAGAGGAGTCCTGCTCCCCAAGATGTGCCAGCAGGGGTCCCTTCAGAAAACCTAGTAGAAGGAAGGTTCTTAATAGACCCACGAGCAGAAACATATGGGGCTTACAGCTTCTCTTATTGTAACTACTGACAATCACTCTTTTGGCTCCATGTCTTTTGAAATGAGCACTACAATAACCTCTATGAATTAAATATTTCCTACAATTTTATAATCTAACAAAAGCCACTATGGTTTCACAGGTGAGTGTAATTAGAATATGTCCAGTCCTCCCCAGTTGTTGTCTGTAATCTCATTAGAAATGCCACAGCTGCTAGGTAAGAAGACATATAGGAATACTTTTTAACAAGAAAACTGTTGGAAACTCATAATCACTATCATTATATATTGGTTAACTGTTCGCAGGAAATTTTCTTTAGGATAATGCAGTCCCTGCCTTCACCAAGCATCATTGACTCTGGTGTCAAACAGCATCCCAATTTTTTATTCAACAAATAAATAAAACAAGGAAAAAATCAGAGACCTCAACACTGAAACTATTTTTTAATTGATTTTTTAGGGAGAGAGGAAGAGAGAGGGATAAAGAGATAGAAACATAGATAAGAGAGAAACATCAATCGGGTGCCTACTGCATGCCCCCTACTGGGGATTGAGTCACAACCCAGGCATGTGTCTGACCTGGAAGATTCACATTAACTGTGACCTCCTGGTTTATGGGTCAATGTTCAGCCACTGAGCCACACCAAACAGGTGAAACTATTTTATATTGAATTGTTACTCATGGTTGGCAGAAATTTTCTGTTTTCAGCCTAACAATGACAGTATGTATACTATAAAATAATTTGTATTCCAAGGTATTTCCCCTCTAAAGATAAACAAGTAGATACATTAGACAATACTGTAGGTTTCGTACTCCTGGCTGAACTGTAGGTTTCGTACTCCTGGCTGAACTAACCCATTTTATTGTTGTCCTAATTCAAAGATGGTGTTCCATCTGTGGTTAAGAAGAGCAGAAAGTCTTCCCACATTAAAGATGTAAGAACTATTCTTTGTTTGCAGACTTGTCTGTCAAATAAGTAAAAAATTCCTTCAGTTTTACTTAAAGGAATATTTGCCAGAAAAGCAAGATTGGGCTCAACCCCACAGATAAGTGTCAGTTGTCAGTCTGTTTATTAGGAAGGCTGTCCCTTTAACTAGCTTAAAATTGCTAGTGGCTTTTCCCAGATTCTACTGACAGACTCACCCCACCCCAAGAATAAGTGGGGAGGGGAGAGAGGGAGAGAAAAAAACCTATTCCAAGCTCTTCTCACCCTTCTGTACCCCATAAAACAACCGTCTGGATCACACACCTGCTAATTCTGGAAGCTCCTCCAAGTTCCCCAAATCTCCCAGTAGATTTTAAGCTTCCCTGGGTACAACGCTCACCACCCCAAACACCCTTCACACAACGTGCACAAGATATTTTAGACTTTGATGAATCTCCGTGCAGTCCATCGAAGGTGCTGTGAACCCAAAAGACAGCAACAGCTGAAAAATTAGAATTCCGACGTCAATCAGAACACAGTCCGCAATGGGTCCGGCCAGGACCCTCCAAGTGGGAGGGCGCTCCCCAGCCCCAGGAGCGAATCAGAAGCTGGCCCAGCCGTTGCCATGGCCACGTTGTTTGTTAGCGCGGTGCACGCACACTGCGCGCGCCAGGGAACCAATCAGCGGCCGGCCAGGGCGTTGCCATGGCCACTTTGTGTGTTAGAGCACAGCAGGTGTGGGGCGATGGAGACCCAGGGCGCTTTTCCCGGCCCAGACCCAGGCCCAGCGAGGATCCGGGCAGCCGCATCCCTAGTCACCCGCCTCTGCCCGATTTCCTGAGTGCACGGCATGAACCGCAAGAAGTTGCAGAAGTTGACGGACACCTTAACTAAAAATTGCAAGCATTGTAAGTACGAATCAAGTGCTGGATTAGCACAGGCTCCTGGTCCAGGTCTCCTGCCCTACCCGGTGCTAAAATTTTCTGCTCAACCTGCTTTCTAACTCCAAGCCTTAGGGCCCTGGAGTCCCCTCCACCACCCTTAAAGAGAAGCCTGGATGAGAATACCTGGATGTTAGCTTTTCGGAGCAGGCTCCACGCCTGCCAATCAACTTAAGGATCGCTATCCAGGTGTCCAGGCATCTAGGATTGCACTCCCACAAGTACACTTACTTGCTTCTCAAGCGCTCTTCTTAATTTACCCTTACATTACAGAAACGTGATTTATATACCCAGGAGACACATGTGGTTTTAGACTCGGCCATAGGTGTAAAGTGACTATTAAAAACCAGGGAGTCGAGAAAAGTATCACAAGCAACATACACCTGCATTCTAGCTTTCTAGAGCAAGTAAAATGACAGGGTTCAATACTGGATACTTACCAAGAGATCCGTAAGGGAAAATGGTTATCGAGGGCTGAACACCCTTAGGAAGCAAACCTATGTCAGAGCTGGAAGGGAAGTGAACCCAAAGAGCTCCCCGAAGCTAAACACATGGTAAAGAATCTGTTCCCAGCTCTAGACTTCCACTCTCCAGTTGCTGGTGGGGTTGCAGGGTACTTTGCCGGTGACAAGATGAGCACTTATTAAAGGTATCTGCTCCCACTGCACATTCTAAAAGGCGGTCCTAGAATTTCCTAGGTAACTTTAGAATTGTACTCAGACTGAAAAACAGAACTGTACCTAGGCCAGGAAGATAAGGACATGGTTTAGGTGAAGACGGTGTTGTCCAATGAGCAAGCTTATGAATTGTATGCTGATTGCAAAACTACTGGCCACCTGAGGAAATAGAAGAAGACATAATCCCAAGACCACTCCCACTGTGCAAAGAAGGAGGAACAAACATGTTTTAATGTAGTTCTAGAGATTACAGGATCTCGTTTCTTTTAATTGTGTGTGTACCTAATGCAATGAGTAGTAAGAAAGGCTCTCTTAGTGGAGTGGTGCTGTAAATGAAAATTAGAGTGTGTATAAGCATCTTAAACTTCTTAGAAAAATAGTCATCCTGTCATTTAAGGCATTATTATGGTTATTATAATATGATGAGAGTTTGTTCTGTTGTTGTTTTTCTTAAAATACTTCCATTTCTGGGAGAAGACCACACCCTCTAAAACATCTGGTAAACACTTTGAATACAAAATGCAATAATTTCAATATACAATGCTGAATTTAATTTGCTCCCTGTTCAGTACATTTGCAAACAGACATTCTGTGAATAATTAAGAGGTGAGTGTATTAAAAGATAAACACATGGCAGGATAAACTCTTTTGCTTTTTGTACTTACATAAACATTTTAAAGTGAGCCTGAAAAACTTGGATGATTACTAGTTAAATTCTATAGAAAGAGTTTCAAGTCCTTGACATTATAATAATTTTAAATTCCTTTAAACAGAGGACCTTTCACCTAAAGTTATATTTCCTTTCAGTTGGCAGATGATAATCCCACTAGGATTAAATGGATAAATTTTGTGGAATCAGAGAAGAAAGTATCTCCAGTGGTCATATAGTTAATCTGCGACTCTACAGATAGGATCTGAGAACAATCAAACCAACCCCAAAAAATGAAAGCCCATCCTTGAATTTTTCTTAACTGTATTTAGTATTGTATTCTAGAACTTAAGAAACATTTCAGCAAGAAAAGTTTTCTTATGGCTAATCTTGGATCCTTGGGTAATAAATTAAGCTAATATTCTTTAATCTTTATTTCAGCCGAGATGGAAAAGATGAAACATAAAATGCTGAGTGAAGGGGATGTTGTATAGTCATTCTTTAAGCAGTCTTTTCTTTCCCAACTAGCCAACAGCCTTTTTACTTTGGGAATATTTTTAAATTGTGGTTAAATTTTACTATTTTAATTGTACAGCTCTGTGTATTCAATTTATTTAAATTGTTGCACAACTGTTACCACCATTAAGCTCCAGAACATTTTTATCTTTGCCAACTGAAACTCTATACCCATGATAGTATAACTCCCCATTTTCCACTTCCCCAAACCCCTGGCAACTACCATTCTACTTTCTGTCTCTATTAATTTCATCACTCTAGGTATATCATATAAGTGATATCATACAGTATTTGTTCTTTTTTGTTTGGCTTATTTCACTCATCATAAAGTTTTCAAGTTTCATCCATGCTATAGCATGTGCCAAAATTTCCCTCCTTTAAAAAACCAAATAATCACCCATAGTATGCATTTACTATATTTTGTTTATCCATTCATTCACCAGTGGACACTTGATTGCTTCCACTTTTGGCTACTGTGAATAATGTTGCTATGATCTTTGGTGTGTAACAATCATGTCAAACTCGCAGCCTGGGGGCCACATGTGGCCCACAATGAATATTTTTTGCGGCCCAGCCAATATAATGGTATGTAAGAAATATTTTAATAAAAATTTTGTAACTTAATTTTTACAATATTCTGTTATACATAATCCTATATAATAAAAGCATAGTATGCAAATTGTCCCCTCAACCATGAGTTGTCTGGAAATTCGACCAGGGGGCAGGGCCAGCCAGGGGAAGGGAGGGAGGCCCTGGCTGGCAGCCGGCAGCTGCTAGGGACTCTACCAGTGCACGAATTTCATGCACTGGGCCTCTAGTTATTAATAACGAACTACAACGTTTGCTAATGACTGATTACTGTAATCGTGTTGCATTCATTTCCCTTATGCACCTTATGCACAGGCACACCATTCTGTCCACTAATACTCGCAGCAAATATTTTAGCAGGTGATTGCCACATCATTAGTCTTGGACTGACTTGTTTGATGTGCGCAACAGGAAATATTTCTCTTTCAGAGAACAAGAAAAATAGGTTTATTTGCATTACGCTTAATAATTTGTGCAGTTATTCAGTGTCTGGTAAGTTAATGTTCAAGAAAAAAATATTAATTTTTATTAAAATGTTCCATTATTTTATGTTAATGATTACTCATTTATTTCAGCCCTTTTTATTCAGCATGTCTCTATTGAAATAAACCTACGTTTCTATGAAAATTGAAGCTTTTGTTTTTTGCTGCCCACATAAACTTAAACCTTGTTTATTTGGCCCATGGTAGCCTTTGAGTTTGACATGCTTGGTGTACAAGTATTTGAGCCCCTGCTTTCAGTTCTCTGGGTATATACCCAGAAGTGAATCACTGGATTACACAGAATTTCTGTGTTTAACTTTTTGACAAACTGGTATACCATTTTCTACTGCAACTAACAGCTCTTTTAAAAATTATAATCATTATACTGTTGTCTATTATTTAATTTATTTACTAAATCATTTGTTTTTCAAGGTTTTTAATATCCCTCTTACATTTTGGTATCCCAAACCAGAAATCATACTCAGGCCTGTTCTGACCTGTAGGATTAGATGTTATTTCTCCATTTCTATGTTCTGTCTTCTTTTACATGCATGCAGGTTTTGTCCTTGTTTTAAAAAATACTCTGTCTTGTTTTGAAATAAACTCATCCCCATCTTCTACCTATAATTCATATTTAAACTCACTTTTTTGTTCTTTTTTAAAAATATATATTTTTATTGATTTTTTTACAGAGAGGAAAGGAGAGGGATAGAGAGTTAGAAACATCGATGAGAGAGAAACATCAATCAGCTGCCTCCTGCACACCGCCCACTGGGGATGTGCCCACAACCAAGGTACATGCCCTTGACCGGAATCGAATCTGGGACCCTTCAGTCCACAGGCTGATGCTCTATCCACTGAGCCACATTGGTTAGGACTCACTTTTTTGTTCTTAATGTTAGGCAATAACCCTTCCACTTAACATATCTGAAATGGGAATTGGAACACAAATAATTATCTCACTCTTTAAAAACACCACCCTTTATACAATGATGTGTGTTGACAAATATGAATGTGTGTGTATCCTTTCAATAAAATTTGCCTTCATTCAAAGTACTGCTGAATAATTGCATGTTAATTTCATTTCATCTGCAATATGAGCTACAAGAGTACTAAAATATGTTTAAACACTTTTTTTTATTGGAAAAGGGTGATTTTAATTTCCAAAATCTCAATAATGGATTTACTAAGGCTAATATGAAATAAAAATTGTCTCCTGACTTTCAGGAGCATGGTATCTATTTCCAGGGGAATGCTAAATTACAAGTCTCATGAGTGCCTGTAATCAAAATGCAAGGAAAGTTAGAATTCTTAAACATTACCATGCTTACTCTGAATCATATCCCTACTGCCTCTTAAAGTCTAGGATTGGACCCCACAATCATTATTCAGGTAACTGGACTGATACTGTCTTCTTTTTTCCTAAGTCCGACTGAACTTGCACCTGTTGGATATTGGAGGGAAGGCTTTTTCTCTCATTTTAGTGGAGAATCCTCTGTAGTAGCCATCCTCTGTTAACTTAAGGGTCATGAATCTCAAAACAGATATGTCGTCTGCCCTGGCTGGGTAGCTCAGTTGGTTGGAGCATCCCCATAACCCCTGTAATCTACAAGGTTGGGGATGATTCCAGGTCAGGGCACATACCACATACCTAGGTTGTAGTTGGATCCCTGATGGGGATGGGTAGGGGAGGCAATTCTCTCTCTCTCTCTCTCTCTCTCTCTCTCTCTCTCTCTCTCTCCTCCCACTCTAAAATCAGTAAAAACATAGCCTTGGATAAGGATTAAAAAAATACCATAGGATTGCTGACAACTACATATCTGATGGCTTTAAAATGTTAGTCTATAAATTCATTAATGCAAAATTTAAGTTAGAAATTAAAGATTAAAACACATTTTTGTTATATCTTAACTTTATTTTTCCACAGTTAATAAATTTGAAGTGAAGTGTCTTATAAAACTTTATTATAACTTGGTGGGAGATATAATAGAGCGACAAGGTGTAGTCAATGGACTGGATCGTAATGCATTTAGAAACTTCTTGCATGTGACATTTGGAATGACAGATGACATGATTATGGACAGAGGTAAGGAGAAATACAAATCCAGCCATAACTGAAAAAAAAGTATTGAGTTGGACTTACTGTTTGTAAAACCTTGATGTTCTATATTCCCAATTTCATTCAAATATAAAATTGAAATCTTTATATTCAAGAAAAAGATCATAGGAGAGGGAAATGAGAGTGAGGGAGGCTAAGGGGGGATGAATGGTGATGGAAAAAGACTTGAGTTGGGGTGTGAACACACAATACAATATGTAGATAATGTATTACAGAATTATATACCTTACAACTATATAATTGTGTTAACCAATGTAACCCCAATAAATTAAATTTTTTTAAAAGAAAAAGATCATAGGGATGGAAATAGTATCCACTCTATTTTGTGTATTTAAGAAGTGGACAGTCAGCTTGAATAATTAGGTTTCCCTTACTTTATAACAGAAAACCTAAACTACTTCTATTTTTACTTAATAAATATAATAAGAAGAATAGTTTTAAAAGGACATTTAAGTTTCTTTACATCATTGAAAATATTTCAATAAGAATCAAGATATAGTCCGGTCTACCATGTAATAAAGCATTACATTTGTTGAGTAACAAAAGTACAAAATTATATATTTTATGTTAGTATAGCAACACATTTAATATATCAACAGTTATATGTTAATAATTAGTTATTAACATATTTAGATATTCAGAATTTACTTTGTTCCCACAAAATATGAGGAGAAAATGTGAAAGTTAGTTTCTTCCTTTGTCAAATGGGAATGTTGGACCATATGATCCTGAAGTTTTGTTTAAATTTTCAAAGTGAGTAGTACCAATGTAGATACATTACTGAGAGTAAAAATGTAGCACAAGTATTACATTGCCCTTCTTTTTCTTTTTAGTATTCCGAGGTTTTGATAAAGACAATGATGGTTGTGTAAGTGTATCAGAGTGGGTATATGGATTATCACTGTTTCTTCGAGGAACTTTGGAAGAAAAAATGAAATGTAAGATTTCAGGTTATCCTACTGGTTTGCACATTATGCCTAACATATCTAAAACATTTTAAACCGATTTCTTCCAACCTAGCCAGTGAAGTAGGTTGTCTGTTGGTTGGTTGGTTGGTTGGTTGGTTGGAATACCCATTAGCCTCTTTTATGGAGCAAATTCAAGTCAATGCTAAAGGTTGAAAAAAATTAATTAAAAGAAAAATCAAGAGATTTTGAAGAGTAATTCATGTCAAGCAAGACTAGATAAGCACATGTTATAGGTGCTAATCATGTATATATACATTTACATTACAGGTCTTAAGATTATGTTTTTGCATATTTAAGTACTTGAATTATAACCATAAAAGTAGGGGATATTGATTCTAGTGCTCTGATTCTTAGTTAATTCTTAATTTTGATGAACTCTGTTTAAGAATTATGTCAACATTAAAATTTTTTAATAAAAATAAAAGAATTATATGTCAGTCAGTTTTCCACGAGTTTCAAGATGAAAAATTTCAACTTATTGCTTCTTTTTTACCTTAATTTTCTTTTTTTAAACTTATATTTATTGTTGAAAGAATTACAGATGTCCCTTGTTTTTCCCCCATTGACCCCCTCCACAATTCAATCCCCCCCCCCCTCCGGCATTCACCACACTATGTCTGTGACCATGTATTATGCATATGTGCATAATATGCATATAAGTTATTTGATTAATCATTCCCCCCCTACTCCCCCCCTTCCCTCTGAGGATCTTCAGTCTGTTACATGCTTCTATGTCTCTGGATCTTTTTTGTTCATCAGTTCATTAGATTCCACCTATAAGTGAGATCATGTGATACTTATCTTTTTCTGATTGGCTTATTTCACTCAACATAATACCTGGGGAATATTATGCCAACTTATTGTCTCTTGTCATGCTTCTCCATAGCTGATTGTAATGAAACTTTTTCTAAGGATTGTTGCATATATTCAACAAGTGAACATTAAGCATTTATTATGGAAATAAGATTGTGTTAAGGCCTGTGGCATTGATAAGAACATCAATATAGACCTTGGTCTTGAAAACTGTATCAGAACAAATGTTACCTTAAGGATAATATCAAATTCCTAATTGGCTATTTTTTAAAAGATTGCTTTGAAGTGTTTGATTTGAATGGTGATGGATTCATTTCAAAGGAGGAAATGTTCCACATGTTGAAGAACAGCCTTCTTAAACAGCCATCTGAAGAAGACCCTGATGAAGGAATCAAAGATTTGGTTGAAATAACACTTAAGAAAATGGTAAATATGTATAATTTAGAGTTTTATATTAAAATTTAAAGGCTAATTGTGGGATAAAAATAATAATTCAAATGATAGTAACTATCAGTTTTCTGCTTGGTGAAATCAAACACCTGGATTATGCTCTTTTTTTATAATATTGATAGTTCATTACAATTTAACTAGTCTCATTTCTCTAATACCTTTTTTTCCATTTACACTTGACCATGAAAAGACAGTTGTATTTGCAATAAGTATTTTACATGTTGACGCATATACGGCTGGTCACTCCTAGGATCATGACCATGATGGGAAACTGTCCTTCTCAGATTATGAACAAGCTGTGAGAGAAGAAACTCTTCTACTGGAAGCTTTTGGACCATGTCTACCTGATCCAAAGGTAAAGAAAGATATTGTTACACTGGCCAGGGGATTGGAGCACCATTCAGTGCACTAAAAGGCTGCAGGTTTGATTCCCAGTCAGGGCACATACTTGGATTATGGGTCCCATCCTTCATTGGAGCATGTAAAGGAGGCAACTGATCAATGTTTCTCTATCACTTCTCGCTCTCTCGCTCTCTCTCTCTCTCTCCCTCCCTCCCTCCATCCCTCTCTATAAAATCCAAAAACACATCCTAGGGTAGATATTTAAAAAAGGAAGAAAGATATTATTTTTTACTGAACAGTGACCAAAATATAATGTAGGATCAACAATCAAGTCTTCTTGGTTTGGTGAGTGATGTATCAAACAAATAACCTTCAGCCACAGAGAATAGCTTATAGATAGAGAAAGCCCACTGAAGAAGAACTTGATGGTTCATTTTATAGTACTATTGTGGCCGAATGCTATTGTTTGTTTACTCATTAACTCATTCATTTATGTAGAAACAATTATTGAAGCTTAATGTGGACCAGAAGCACATACGAAAGGCTTAATTGAAGTGCTCAAGGGTTAATATTTTTTAGGAGGAACGTCAACATGAAAATAATTACTCAACAGTATGATAAGTATTATTATAATAATAGTTAATGGCTTATACAGGTTTCATCTATGCCATCCACTATTATAAGCACTATCATCCACATCACCTCATTTAATTCCCTTATCAAACCTATGAAGTAGGTAGTCTTATTATTCTCATTTTACAGATGAGGAAACTGAGGTTTGAAGAGTTTAGCCCACTTGTCCAAGTTCATGCAACAATTATGAAGTACCCTGGGTCCCCTGGTTCTAGAGTCCATAGAGATATGTATAGAATATTGTGGTGCTCACGAAGACCGCATCAAAACCAGCTGTATCAAATGACTGGTAAATGGCTGGTGGGACAAGGAAGGCTAGGTTTCAAGGACACAATAGTCAGCTAGGTCAAAATGGGGATGAATAATGAATAATCTAAGCAAAGGGAAGGCATGACGCGCACACGAGAGAGAAATGAATCTGTATTCAAAGAGTATTTGGTGTGGTATGAAACTGGTGATGAGTGATGATGCTGGAGATGCATAGAAGGGCCAATCCCAAGGAAGCTTGGAGTTTGGATTTTGTCTTGAGTGCCTGAGGATTCATTGGAAAATTTTAAGCAGGTAGAATGATTTGGTATATAAATATTACAATACACCTTCCCCCAGTCTCTAGTCTGTATCTCCAGCTGCCTACTCGACATATCCAATAGATAATCTCAATAAACTTTCTCATCAGGATTTAAACAGGTCTAAACCTGTCCCATTTGGAAAAGAAAAGAATAGAAAAAAAAGAGGTAGAAAGGAAGGAGGAAGGGAGGAAAGGTGGGAGCAAAAGAAAGAGGAAGGAAGCAAGGAAGGAAGGAAAGGAAAAGAGAGATCTTACCTTAATTACACAACTACTTTTATTTTCAGTCCAATGGCTTTGTTTTTCAAAGTCAAATGTCTTGAAAGAATTGTCCATATTTGCAACCTACACTACCATTACTTCTTCCTCTCCACACTTGAAGCTGCTCTTGCTGAGGTCACCACACCACACTCTCCCTATTAATCCCAAGCATCCAGCTTTGGGGTTTTTGTCTTACTAGACTACATTCCTTCCCTATGCCCAACTGTTTGTCCAGCTTCTCTTGCTCTAGGAAGCATGTCTGCTACCTGCCACCGACTGGCTGTGACATAATTAGTCCTCCTGGCCTCCCATAGTCTACTGTGTGTTTACTTTATTGCATCCCTTACTTCAGTGAATTAAGCTCATCAGTTTCTGGATGGTTTCTGCCACTAGACTGGAGGCTCCTGAAGATCTGGGCCGTGTAGTCTTGCTCACCTTGTAGCCCCACACTAAGTATTGTACTTGGAATATAATCTGTACTGTCACCATCTGTAAGTGAACAGAAAATGCATGACCATCACAAGTTCTTGATGTTGTTATCTTGTGTCTCTTCCAAGGAGACATATGGAATATCTTTGTTTTGTTCTGCCTTTTTCGTAAGTCTGTACTAATTTTAGCACTTTTATTTTACAGAGCCAAATGGAATTTGAAGTCCACATATTCAAAGATCCAAATGAATACATTGATATGTGAATAACTAAATGTCTGTGTTGCCTCAAATGAGTATAAAAAAGGAGGTGTCTATGTATTGTATATATATGTTTTTTATTTAGAAAGATGATATTGAATTGTGTGTTTGGGTGGGGGATGTTGTTCACTTACATATATCATTTAACTTTAGTGTAAGAACCAAGTAAAAGGGATATAAGACAAGTTTCTTATTAGATGTTGTTGGGTTTGGGTTTAACATTGCTAGAGGTATTTTATACCTAAACATATGTTGAAGCATATAACTATCAGACAAGTTTGTATTAATGAAATGAATAGTGAAATTATATTATCTTGAATTATATAAGGCAACTATTAAGGCAAGTATTTTTCATGTCAGAAAAATGCTAGATATAATAAAATTAAAAATCATAGAGCCCTAACCGGTTTGGCTCAGTGGATAGAGCATCAGCCTGCGGACTCAAGGGTCCTAGGTTCATTTCCAGTCAAGGCCATGTACCTTGGTTGCAGGCACATCCCCAGTAGGGTGTGTGCAGGAGGCAGCTGATCAATGTTTCTCTCTCATCGATGTTTCTAACTCTCTATCCCTCTCCCTTCCTCTCTGTAAAGAAAAAAACAATCAATAAAAATCATAGAAATTACTGAATGTTTTTGGAGCAGTAAATAATTAAGATGGTATCGAAAGACACTGGCATTTAACATTTGAATACCATTCTGCTAGGCACTGAGGGAGATTTAAAGAGATGAAAGAAACATGTCGCATATTTTAATATGATCTTTATTATTGTATGAGGCTTTGTCATTCAACCTGCCTAAATTGTAAGTATCTGAGGGCTGGGGGTCTCATCATACCCATCTTTATATCTGTCATAACAGTTAGTACAGTCCTCTGCACAGAACGTCTCTCAATAAATACTGTGGGTTGAAAAGTACAAAGTACAATAAGATAAATCCAAACTCTTGGCAAGCAGGGGAAGAGGAAAGTGCTGTTTCTTGAGTTTAATGAATGATGCATGGGCACAGCTTTCAGTTTATTTCTGGAGTCATCCTGGTTGCCCCTTCCCCTACCATTGCACTCAGCTGGCAAGCCTGTTCTGGCTCCCTCTGCTTCCTACGTCCGTTCTACTCTGTCCCCGTCACTGCCTTGGATTCCCTTGCATACTCCCTTCTAAGGGGACCTGACTTCCCTCTGCCCCCCACTATCCAGCAGGTGCCTGTGGGCGTTGGGTGGAAGCATGAAAAGATGGGCTTAGTTATGCTCTTTGAGTTACTGTCTATCTCTTTAGTGAACATGCGCAAGCAGCTAATATCTCTTCTGTCAATATGTAAATATTTAGAAGCTTTTTGGATATTAAATACTTTTTACTATATAAGATGAAGCAAAAGAGTACATTGTATTAAAAAATGGACAGTTACAAATAAGTGGAATAAGCAATTCCAAGAAATAAAGACATTTTACTGTCCAAGTATTTTCTTAAAATTTTAGATTGTTATTTAGATGGACTTTGACACAATTTTTCTATCTTGAGTACGTATAAATAATGCAATACACAATGCTTTTAATTTTGTAATTATATCTTTCTGATTACAAAGTAATAGAGATTAACTGAAGAATACTTCAGAAGTTTAGGAAATTCAACAAATAAAATTCAATTATTCATTAATATTCTGGGATAGATTCTTTCAGGTTCTCTTAAGGCACCCTATATGTTTTTAGGTGATCATGTTGAAAATGCTCTTTTGTAAGCTGCTGGTTTTGTGCACCACGATCTCATGAACATTTTCTCAGGTCATTAGATGTTTGTCTACAGCCTCACTTGTAATGGCTGCCTGGTGTCCCAACACTACATACTCACTCAACCACTTCCCTGCCACTGATATGTGTTGGTTCACACATTTTTGCTGTTATAAATAATTTCTGAAATGAACTAGTCTTATAGACAAATCTTCTCACATGCATTATTGGTTACTTGGGGTAAGTTTGTAAATAGAGGAATGTTGAGTTAGAGGCCAGTATGATCTCGAGATTTGTAGTACATGTTACCAGATTACCCTCCAGAAAGGCCTGCTGTGCTCAATGCAGGAGAGGCCGATTCCTTTCCATGCGGTGCACATTCTTTGAACTTCTTTGCTAACATCATGCACCATAATTGGCCATGATTTTAACATATCATTTAAAGAACTAATCTTATACAGCTGTACCTAAACTTTTTATTGTAGTTTGATTAAGTGAATAACCCTGTTTTATTACATATTATTTAAAACTAAAAAAAAAGTCTTAAAAGAATTCTAAATAATTTAAGTGAAACCTAAGATGATGTTAGTACTTGACCGTAAGATCTCATAGGCTCCGTTCACACCCCTCGGCTGTTCCTCATCATAATCTGCCCAATCATTTCCTCTGCTAGTATATCTAGATTTCTGGAGCCTCTTCATTTCACTACTGTAGAACTCATAAGTGATTTTAACACTGAAATTTTACTCAACTTAATAGCAGGGTCACCTGAGTACAGAGGACCTTTGAGGACGAGATTTCTTCCCTCTTACTCCGAGCTCTGCCGCCAGGCCTGTCCTGAGTCCTCATCCCGCGAGGTACAGCCAGTGTTTCTCAGCCCGTGTTTGCCTGCCTTCGGGGCGACTCATTAGGACGATGGATGAACAAGTGTAATTTGGAAGATTGAGTGTAACCTTCCTCTCACTGACTTCTCAACGCTTTGGCTTCCCCGTCTCCTCCCAGTGCTCTGCAAAGAGGAGCAGAAAGCAGGCCAGGCCCCTTTGGGAGAGCAGAGCATCGCCCCGCAAGCAGCTTGGAGAGATTCTCTTTGGGAAACAATCAAGTACTTTTTTTAAACGACAGGATTTTAAAACTGCCACTGCATTCTGGTAGTCCTGCATTCTTAACCTGTAAATATCTTTGGGTACAAGATTGCACTTGTAAGAAGCCAAACCAGCAAGTGCTTGCATTATAAAATCATCCAAAACATTCACTAAGTTCCTGCTTCGTGCTAAGCCATGAGGGTTAAAATATTCTAGGTCAGTTGCTCTGCCCTCACCTTGTTCATATTATATGATAAGACTCTATGCTGTGTGACAGTTATCACTGTTTAGATTCACTGTGACAGTCCCTCTCCTGCCTCCTTCTCCCCTACTCCCCCCAAAAAAGATATATAATTTTTAGTTAAAGAATATTATTAAAGGAAATTAAATATACTGTGAAACTAAAAAGATAGTAATGTCTATAAGAGGTTTCTCTGAGCTGCTCCTCAGGTTGTCCATTTTTCCTAGTGCATTTTATCTAACTGGGTCCATTTCCTCACAGAATCAGCCTCTAACTCCCCCATAGTCATCCAGAACTGATGATTATTTCTCACCAAGTATGGCAAAGAAAGGGTGGGAATTGCATTTGACGTGGAGAGACTATGAAAGATACACAATAAAATAAAACTTTAATCCATGTATGTGTTAGTTACAGCTCATCAAATTGTCAAGGTTGGTTGGTAATAGTTCAAAAAGAGGTAGAAGTAAAATATTCATCTTTTCTGATTTGCAGCCCCCCTTTCTGTTAGAGTAAAGCAAATGATCTCTTGAAGTATTTCCAGCCTCAGTTACCATTGAAGGAGGAGCCACCTGAATACAGCCACGCCAATCAAAGCCCCCTTCTCATGAGATGTATCTGAAGGAAACTTGCTCAGTTTCACAGGGGGAGCAACAAAGGAAAGAAGTCTAACAGTGGAATATTCTATGTGAAGCAAAGCATGCTTCTACATTTGAAATGTCTTTATCAGAGTGCCATTACCTTATGCGGTAGTTAATTGCTCACAGTTCCCTCACTGGTAATTTGTGGCTTTCTGTGTACCTCATGCCTCCTACCTAATCTGTCAAGAATATATTTCTTCCTCTAAGACACACATCCTCTTGTTTATTTTCACCTTCTCCTGCCTGGTCATCCCACACTGCCTCTATTATGTGGTCCAACCAGACTCACAGAGAGTTCCCTGGGTGAGAAGTTTGTCAACTTAAAGGACATTGAATAAATTGTGTGAAACACAGTCTGTCTTTCCTTAACCCGAGTTGCTCCTTCCTATCTCCTATCCCCATCTCTAAAGTCTTTGTGTGGCCCAAGGGACACCACAGCTTAAAGCCAGGCAACGGGGCCTAAAGATGGAGAATGGCATGCACTTCAGCAGAGGACTTACAAGTTCTCTCTGCAAGTGACATCTAGAATTTGAGTCACTACCTCCTGGTAGAAGGAGTTAGCCCCACAGCACAGGCCAATCCAGAAGATTAATTAAAACCATTTGGTCAAGTATTCCTTAATGAATCTTTCAGATATAACAGTAGAATCAGAAAGTAGAATAAAACAATCCCTATAATACATTACACAAAAATTCAATGAACACCTTTGTTCCCGGATTATGCTAAATATTATATTCATTATTTCATTTATCACATCTATCCTGAGGCAAACATAAATATTAACAGTTCCATCCTACAGATTGAGAAAATTGGAGTTTAGGAAAATTAAGAAACTTTCTCAATGTCCCACACTGGTAAAGAGCAAAGCCAAGAGCAGACCTCATCTAGTTCTAATGTTAGAAACCTTTTTCTAAAGCAATATTTATTATTCTTGCTATGCATACCCCATGAGGTTTGGAGTAATTTAAAGCTCCAGGCTCCTGAAGAATCTTCAAATTGCACCTTCAAGACTACCCGGTGGTGCTATGTAATGTGTATGTATGTGAGTGAGACCATGGCCAACTCTCTTCCGGGCACTCTTGTCATCTGAAACACCTTGGAATTTTGGAATTTTTTTTCTTGAAGTGTCCAGTTTGGAAGTAAATGCGTCCATGTTTGGTACCAATATCAATCGGAAACTTAGGCTGGAACCTTGCCTTGCCAAGAGTCCAGATGTTTGTGAATAGTAGCCAGGCTGTCAGACTCTATGACTCTAAGGTCAGCACAGGGACAAAAGTGTGTCAACCAACCACAGGAGCTGAGGTCACTGCTGGTTTATGAGGAGGATGGCAGAAGTCATTCAGGAAGGAGTGAAAAGGGCTGGACTCCTCATAAAAAAGGACAAGGGATGTTTCTTTGGGCACCTGGGCATTTGTTCAGAGAAAGACTTCTATCGGAACAAGAAGAAGATGCCAATGAGAAA